TTATAAGTTTGATCAGAGATGCCAGGTCGAGGGCATACGACCAGAGAACTAGAAGTTGGAAAGGATCAAGGGTGAAAGCGCTCGGTTTGTTCTGGATGGTCAGGGATTATTGACCTGATGTTGTTGAGTTTGGGTTTCGATGACTGGTGGAGTCAAACAGATAGTGATGGAGGAGGTTCATAAGTCTCATTTTTTCATACAATCGGGGGCCACCAAGATGTACCGTGACCTGAGTTTGAGTTACTGGTAACCATGTATGAAGCAAGAAATCAGTTCGTATGTTGAGAGGTGCTTGACCTGTAGGATGTTTGAGGCCGAGCATCAGAGGCCGCATGGTAAGTTGCAGCCTCTAGAGATCCCCATGTGGAAATGGGACAATATCACGATGGACTTCATTACAAAGCTGCCAAGGATGGCCAAAGGGTTCGTGGCTATATGGGTCATCGTGGATTGATTGACCAAGAGTGCTCATTTCTTAGCGATATGGGAGAGTTCTTCAGCCAAGATGTTGGCCGACATATATGTCTGCGAGATCATTTCTCGCCATGGAATTCCAGTTTCCATTATCTCTGACCAAGATGTTAGGTTTACCTCCCATTTCTGGCAGAAGTTCCACGAGGAATTAGGCACACGCTTGCATTTTAGCACAGTGTTTCATCTGCAGACACACGATCATAGTGAGCAGACCATTCAGACACTCGAGGATATGTTGAGGGCATGTGTCATTGATTTCGGTGGGAATTGGGATTCCCACCTACCTCTTGCAGAGTTTTCTTAGAACAACAACTACCATTCCAACATTGGCGCCATGCCTTTTGAGTTATTGTATTGGTAAAGATGTCACACCTCAGTTTGTTGGGGTGAGGTTGAACACCAAGTGATGGGATGGACGGAGGTAGTTCTGCAGACCACAGAAAAGATTCAACAGATTACGTAGCAATCGCAGACCGCTCAGAGTTGGCAGAAGAGCTATGCCAACATACGCCGATCTGAGTTAGAGTTCCATGTTGGTGATATGGTACTACAGAAGGTCTCACCCTAGAAGGGTGTGATCGCTTTAGAAAGAGGGGAAAAGTGGGTCCCCGTTACATTGGGTTGTTCAGGATTATTGCCAGGATTGGCAAGGTGGCTTACAGGCTAGAGCTACCAGAGGATCTTAGCCAGATTCACAGAACATTCCACATTTTCCCAATTACGAAAGTGCATTATGGACGAGGATGCAGTAGTATCATTGGATGATATTCAGGTTGATGAGCGCCTGAATTACGTGGAGAGGCTTGTGGCCATTTTGGAAAGGAAGAAGAAAATTATGCTGAAGAAGGAGATACCTTTGGTGAAGGTGTAGTGGGAACATTGTACGGGATCCTAGTAGACATGGGAGCTGGAGGCGGAGATGTGAGAACATTACTCGGCATTGTTTACCTTAGCATACTTCGAGGGCGAAGTCAAGTTCATGTGGGGGAGAATTGTAATGCCTCAATTCTCAGGTATTGATTTATATATGAATCCTCCTTAATCTTTGGGTCTACTCGACGAGTTGGTCACCCTACTCATCGAGTAGTAGTGGGATGGTCCACGTGTTTTGGTAACCTACTCGCCGAGTCCAAGAAGGGACTCCACGAGTAGGAGTTGGCAGATGAAACCATAAATTTCGGGGCATTGCACCCTATTTAAAGGATCATTGGCCTTCCCCTCAGCCTCCCCATTACAACCTCTAGTCTCTCTTTAACCCTAATTCATGTGTGTGTTTTCTCTTGGAGACTTTAAGCTTGGAGGAAGGATTCTAGTGAAGGAAACACTTAGGGAAACAAGCTAATTGAAGCAAGAGTTCGTGGGATTCAAGATCAACATCTGTAAGCACTCTATTGAAGGTACTAAACCGTTTTCCTTGGCTCATTTTAACCTAAACCATCTTTTACATGAGTTTTAAGAAATGTTTCTTGTCCTTAAGCCAAGATCTGAAGTTGTAACTTAAGATCTGGACTCCCCTTGGCCTCTAGATTCACAAAGTCATCAGCTTTACTTAGTATGAGCCTTCCCTGAAGTGTGTAACTTCATTGAAAGCTTAGTTTTGTCATTTTAGGGTCTTAAAAGCCTTGCATGCACGTAAAGTTTGCAACTTTACATGATAAGCATGCCTAAGGAAGTTGGATCTGCAATTTGGAGCCTTGGCATGGCTTAAAAAGTGTATGTATAGTTAAAGGACTGAAGGGACTCGACGAGTCACATGGTCGACTCGGCGAGTCATATGAAGATGGGCATGTTTAGATGAAAAACTCGGCGAGTCTGATGAAGACTGTCGTTGAGCTTTGATCGCGAGCCTTAGGAACTCGATGAGTCACTCTGGTGACTCAGCGAGTGGACGAGTATCTCAAAGAACTCAGCGGGTAGCTAAGGATACTCGACGAGTTATGATCACCATGGACTGTTGACTTTGACTTTGACCAGGGGCTAACTAGTTGACTTATGGGGTATCTTGGGAGGTTGGAAACTTACAAGTATAGTTCTATTATGATAATAGGTGGTGGAGTTTGTGGCAACGATTCGAGAGTCGGAGTTTATCTACCGAGATGACTTTTGAGAGGTGAGTTACCTCACTATACTAAGGGATCTAAGGAACCAAGGTCGGCCCTATGGATATGTTATTCTAGCAGTGTTAGTATGTTGAGTATGAATTTAGTTTTTCATGCTATTGGTTATGCCAGTTAGGTAGATTTGTAGGACTACCTGTGTTGTTGTATGATTATCTGCATGCTCAGTGGTTATGCTATATGTGGATATCTTATGTGGGATGGGTTGAGGTGAGATTGCTTTGTGCGATAGCCAACAAACTCAGGATCATTCCAGTTACGGGCTAAGGGAGACTCGTATTGTGGTCTCGATGGCAAGCGAGATGTGAGATGTGGGCCCGTAAGGCAATCCATACTCACACTGTGGGCCCAGGGGGTAATCCAGTATGTAAAGCTATGGACCCATTGCATGTTGTTCTGTTCAGTTTGTTATTTTATGATACTGCTGATATTGATATGTGGATTATATGTGTGTCGGTATTTTAGGGGAACTCACTAAGCTTCTGTGCTTATAGTTTTAGTTTATTGTTTTATGTACATCAGGGGATCGTGGCAAGGCGAAGGCGTGATCGTACTGCTCCTCGTTTTGATGACTCTGTTTCTGGGATATTCTGATATAATACATTTGAAAACATGTTTTGTAATAACTGTTGAATTCAGAATGCATATTAAAAGTTTAGAATTTGCTTGATTTTTATGGGTGTTACACTTTCCATGAAATAATCATTTCCAGACTTCTCACCAAAATAATCATTTCCAGACTCCTCACTAAAATAACCCTCAACCTTTCAAAAAAATCTTCATAAAATCCACCATCCTACAATCCTAACCTTCTTACACCATATCACACCTCGCAATCATCGGAAAATCCGGAGTCAAAAAAACCCAAAATTTTGTGTCGCAAATATTGACATGCAAACCAGTTTGCCAAGGATTGCTTAGCAGAATACCCACAGAAACCCAAAATGAAAGACTCTTCTTAATAAGAACGTAGAGTTCAAGAAATGGATGAAAGTGAAAAGGCTTTTCTTACTACTGTATCAAGGGATGTGGAAGGGTACCGGTCATCTGGAGATGATGATTATGTATCCACTGGGAAGAACATGTGTCTTATGGCTCGACAAGAAACAAAATGTGTCGAAGGCTACTGCTCATTTAGGTCAGAGAGAGATGATGATGATGCAGAACCAAACTACTGCTACATGGCTACCAACGATCCTCCTGGCAGAAGCATTGTTCAATAGGTAAAAACTATGATTAATGAAAATAATTTTGATTTATTTCTTTGTGAACCATATTTAACCCAGATCAAATAAGATTTCAACATCATTTACAAAGCGTATGAGTCATCCATAGAAGCCAGTGAGAAGAAGGAATGTGAACTGAGTCGTCATAGATTACGTTTTGGGAATAATAAGTTAAAAATAGAGTCTTTAGAATGAGATCTTGTAATGTCAAAAGATTAATGTATCATTCTTAAAGACAACTGTGAAATCCCTTATTCTGAAAGAAATGTTTTGATTTCTGACAACAGACATCTTAATGCTAAAATGGATGCTTTGCATAACTCCATTGACATTCTTGAGGCAAATGAACGGATGACTCAAAATTTTTGTGATCGATGGTCAAAAGCTCCTAGTCTCGGAAGCAACTTTCCGAAACCAATTTTCAGTCCCTTGAGGGAGTTACAAAACCTAAGTTTCATGGGAGAGGTTCCAAACATTAAACATTTGGATACCCTTATCTCGCCATTATCACCCATTCTTGACACTCCTAACCAATATGCATCTCTAATTCTTGAGTTTAAGCCCATAGTTATCAAATGTCCTAATTTCATGCCTCTTCCACCTCTGACAAACCTGGACTTGAATCGGACCTCAGAACCTCACTCTAGTAATCCCATTGCAGTTGTTCAAAATTTGAACCACCACTACTAGAAAAACAGCCTTTTACGATGCTCATTGCACGTCGTAAAAGGATCAGATGACGCACAAATGCGCGTCAAGGAAGGCCCTGTCATAAAGAAAGACGACGCGCATTTACGACGCTCATTTACGACGCGCAATTATGACGCGCGTTTACGACACACAATGCGTATCAAGAAAGGCCCTTTCATAAAGGAAGACGATACGCATTCGCGTGTCGTAACCTTACGACGCGCGTGTTAATGACACACATTGCATATCAAGAAAGCCCCTGTCCAGAAAGACCATGTCATAAATGAAGATGACACACATTTTTGCGTATCATAATTGTAAATGTTAAAAAAAAATATTATTTATGGATTTACTTATTTTCAAATTAAATTTGTATTTAATGTTTCATAATAAAAAATAAAAATCATATACAAAAAATAGAATCCATTGAATAAATTTAATGCCATACAAATAATCGTTTGAACGACTAAGGGGATTCGATTGTACATTGTTATTAAGAAAATGGAAGTATATTGTTATAGTTAGAAAATAAATGAGAGTACAATGCGCTATGTTTGGTTCCTCTCATATAGTTTCCATCTTCAAGATTGCTATCCAATAAGCTTTTAGTATTCGCATGTAGAAATTCCATTGCAAAATGCACACCTGAGAGCTCACGTCCTGGAACAGGGAGGTCTCGTGGCTTTGTTGCCCCAACTGCTAAAATAACCGCATCATTCTCTTCGCGAAGGCGTTCAATTGAGTACACCGGATCGCTTCCTTATTCAAGGACAGAGAAACTGCAAATATTATTACAACTCATTGTTTACCAACAAAACAAACTATATGATTATGATTACCTACCTACAAAAGTGGGCCCTAGCAATCCGGAATTGGGATTTTGTTCCTTCTCCAATTAGATTTAAGCCAAGTGTGGGACTACTGCTTGCAAGAATGCAATGTTGAGGGCAATCACAAGGACTGGACCATGGTGTTTGGATCACAACAACAAATCTACATACACAAAACACAATTTTAGTATTTCTGGAACCTATTAAGGATATCACTCATTGTAAGAACTAGAAAAGGATGAAAAGTTTTTAGGAAATCATAGGGACTTACCGAGCTGCAAGGGTCATCCATGTGCTTTTCTTTCTGCAAACTACACCACATATTTCCAAATTAAATCTGACAGTATGGTGACTGACTATGCTACAAAAAATGCAAATTAACTACTTTTTATCTTTATCACAAACTATTATGTGAATCCGATATGGTTGTATTTTTTTATTCAATATGCAAGTACCCAACAAAGATTCACATAACAGCCATGGATGGCAACAAGCAGGGAAGCACAAAGGTATTGCTTTTTTCAACAAAACCTACAAGTATATGCACAACTAAGAAACTAATAAGTTAAATAAATCTCATCTTTTCAGAAAGTTTTATGTGAAACTAGCATGAGGCTTTTACCTTTTACCATGAAAAGATAACTGAATAAAGGATTTGCAACAGAAGTCACAAAGGGCTTACAGGGTAGTATAATGCACTTACAGTTGTGTTGGTCAATGACTTAACAATGTGGTAGTATAATGCAGTCAGTGTGTCCCCCTTGTCATTCCTGTTACAATATTTAATTAATTAATCATCAACATAATTACTTTAAAAGATTAATTTTTTATATAACAAAATAAACATCGGTTCATCCGGAGTGTAAGTCACATCCAGATAGTGGCCTTTTAGCTATCACAGAACTTGACCCATGTTATATAACATGTAAATTCTTTTCATCTCTCCATCTTTATATACATAAACACACACACTTATACGTTATATGTAAGTTGTAACATATAGTCCCTGAAAGTGAATTCTTGATTATCAGGTCCTCTTTCATCAGTATGGAAAGAATGGTGCATTGAATTTGGGATTGAAGCAAATGATATTCTTGCTATTCCATATGATTGGAGATTGTCACCATCAAAGCTTGAAGAATGGAATTGGAACTTCCACAAGCTAAAGTTTGTATTCAGTTATTATATGATCTGAATCATAATAATTTTGAAACCCACATATTAATTTTTTTTAATTTCTTTGCAGACTTACCTTTGAAACAGCTCTGAAGAATGTCCCATTTACTTATTTATTAGGGTTGTTTTATGGACACGGGACTTGAAATCAAGAATAAGGTTCCCTCACCACTTTACAATCACACACTCGCCACAATTCTGGTGGAATATGCTTCTGCAGTAAGATGAACATGATATCGTGAGACATTATGGAGTAATTAAGTTAAGTAGAAGAATTAATAATAAACTATGTAGGTTTACATGTCAAATTTAACATTTTTACTTGGAGTTGTTCAAGATGTGATGCCCTTACCACGGTACTTGGCACAGTTTATATGAAAACTCAAAAACAATATTTTTCAAATTATGCTGATTTTGTTGTTATCTTGAATCATGGTTTTGAAGTATTAGAGATGATTGTTGATGTTGAGAACTGTCTTTAGGACTTTGTTGGGGTTGCAGATGATCTGGATGCAATTGTTATTGCATTCAGAACTGTTCCCTAACACCCTGAGTTTAGTTTCATCACTATCATCCAGTTTAGATACATCAAGACAGTTTGCAAAAATTTGAAAATACAACAAATTATGAGGTTACATACACTCTAGTAATTTTTACACTTAGAAGGACGATTTACAGGTCTCAGGCTCATGAAAAACTTGCTTGAGTCACCAACAATGCAAATACATACCAAGAACAATCATTTGTTTAGACTCTTCCATTGGTCCCTGCAACCGTTGAAATGCTTTTCTTGCACTGCCCTGTATCAACATACAAAAACCAACAATCATACTCATACATATATATATTAACATGTATATTGTGTATGTATATATATATATATATATATATATATATATATATATAAAAGAAACTGAATATTGCCTCTGGAATGCCGAGTAAAGTAGAGGGATAAGGCTGAGAGCTCCCTGAATCTTTAGCACTATCTGCCCCATCAACATTATTTCAATCCATTAATATTTTATGCCACTCTTTGCATTCTTTTGACTTGCGAAAAATGCACTGCACAAACATGTAACAAGCCAAACATTTAAATCATATTTTTTTAAAAAAATTAAAAAGTTCTCCTTTAACAATTCCTTTATAAAGGATTAACCTGATGCAGGAACTTTGAGAGGAACTTTGATTATTCATCATTGATGTATTTGAGGTTGTGGGAACATAAAAGTTTCCAGTTCGAGAAGAATCAGTGGTGCTACTCCCATATCCATCACCTGCAAAGTATACGTATTAAGTACCCCATCAACATTAAAGAGGATACTACAGTGACAAAAGCAGAGAGAGAGAGAGAGAGTACCCTGTGACATCTGTTGTTGATGGACATTCAGAACAGTCCCATAATGAGAAGGTGTCTCATTTTCTCTGTGACATTTGAAAATCCATAAGCTTTGTGTTGTAAAGTAGACCTGATTCCCCCACCCATATGGCTCCCAAGGCTATGTAATATGTGACTGTTCTGGCCACAAACTTGGTGCTTCTGGTTTAGTGGCTGAGATACCATTGTTGAGTCAATAGTCGATAGCCCAACAACATTGTTGGACATATCTGTTTTCATGTAATACTGATTAGTATTAGTATTATTAAATCTAGGAGTAGGCATCATTCACCATTCATAGTCCATAACAAAGAGACCAAAACCCTAACTTATCAGTGAAAATAGACAGAAAGAATCAAAATAGTAAACATGTGGATGTGTGTGTGGTGCTATGTGCGACTGTGAACAACTATCATAATGGGATTAAGAAGCAAAAAAGTACGGGAGATGGATGTCTCACCTGAGACATAAAAAAAAGAATAAGGGAGATGGAATGGAGCGTACCTGAGATGCTTAAAGTGTAGAATTGGGGATCAAGGAAAGAGGAGGAAATCACGATTAATATCTGTATCGCCTTTCCAGTTAGGGTTTAACAGAGGAGAATACAAGAAGAATCAAAATCGAAATCAGAGGCATGAATAAAGGAGAAAGAAGAGCAATTTTTACAACACAGAAGAGTGCACCTTACCAAATAATCCTTCGATTGACTGCAATTTGGAGTCAAATCGATATCGAATCAGCTAGATAATATCAATTTCGATTTCAATTTCATCTACTCCAAGTCTTTGTGGCCTATAAAACACGGTGTGTGGCTGATGATGGACAACCTGCGAGCTGCTGGTTTGTACCCAACGCTTTACCAGCAATACCTTTTCCCGATACGAGCTGCTGGGTTGAGGTCGCCTCAAAGAACCCTAAAATCTCTGGATCGAACACATACGAAGCGGATTCAATCACATAAATGGGCTCGGATCTTCCTTCACATGGGCCCCATGTTTACCTTGTCTAATTATTGGAAACCATAGTTGAACAAGAAGGTCTGTGTCCATTATGCATTTTTCATTCAATAGTCAAAGTCTTGAACCAATCGATCATCAAAGAATTCTTGATAGTCATCAAGAGGGTTCAAATCTGTTTCCTTTGGGGAAATGATTGGATCAAATCTGTTTCCTTTGGGGAAACGACTGGAAACCATATACGGATTAGGGTTTACAGAGAAAATGAGAAGGAGAGATTGAAGGTTGTCGGCTGGTGGCGTGCTTTCCTTGATCGACGTCGACGACCGGGAATGGCAAGTAACGATGGTCTAAGTGTGAGGGAAGAAGTAAGTGGCAGTCAATGTCGGCAGTGGGAAGGAAGGAGCGTCGATAATTAGGGCAAGAGGGAAAGGAACAAAAAGGAAGGCGGGGATTTTAATTTTTTAGGATTTCATTTTCCCCCTCAACTACTAAAGGATGGAAGGCGCGTTTCCATTTAAATTTATAAAGCGACATCCTCAGATGACACACGTTTTATTATAGGCGCCCCCCCGTGTTTTTTTTTAGACACTAATTTAAGGGTACGCAAAAATGCGCGCCCTAAATCCTTAAAATTTATAGAGAGATGACATTATTTTTAGATCACACTCGTTTGCGTATCGTGAATCAATGCGTATCATAAATTGCGCGTCGTAAAAGGTTGTTTTTCTAGTAGTGCACTATCCTCCTAATAACTGTGTTGTTGTGGAAATTATTCCGGAAACAATTGGACCCAAATTCTCTGAGTTTTTTTGGGTATCTTTAGAAACTGATGTTGATAATTCATCGTATTCATGTGAATCTATCTCACTAGTGGTCTCCAAAACCAAATTTGTTCCTATGAAACCTGTGTTTGACAGCCCCATTGTTGGTTAAAATTCCAAATATTCATCTCATTCCAAAAAGAAACCATTGTTGAATAGGAAAGATGTTGTTGATCCTATGGTAGAAGCCCGGAATGCTCACAAAAAGAAAATTAAGTCAACACAAAACTCTAGATTCATTGAGAACTCCAAAAAAGAGTGTATCTCGGCCTACCAACTCAGCAACTAAGAGTCACAACATCTTCACATCCACTAAGATTCACAAAATACCACCCAATCCTCCTAAACCAGTACAACAAAAGAATGTGGTCAATCACACCTCGAAAAGGTCCAGTGCTCATACTCAATCCACTAGAACAATCTTTCCTTGGACTGTTTCATCCATTTTCATCACCAAATCTGATGGTAACATTTTTAGACCTGAATAGTTTTTAAAATCAAATGTGCCATCGACAAAGAAAGAATTTCCAAGAAAACAATTTCGGAAAAATTTTCAAAACAAAACCTTGTTTGGAAAATAAAAAATCCCATTGATGAAACTGTGATTCCGTAAGGCACCACTGCTCTGGAAGTTCCATGTTCGATAAAAGTTGCTTGGAACAATCATGTCATTAAGTATGATTGTTGGATAAATGAAAGAACCATGGCCTTCTATCTATTTCCTAAAGAATCTCGGAACAAATCTTCCAAAACGTCTGTTGCTCTTAAGTCACAACCAAAGCCTAAGACTCGTCCCCTTGTCCGAAAACCTAACTTGGAGCCTAAAAACTCTACAAGTCACTAATTTTGCAGGCACTCTGTGCTTCAGAGCAAGAAACAATATGGTATATAGATAATGCTTGCTCCATGCACATGACAGGGTAGAAGGACTTTCTGCGAGATCTCAAACTTTCACCAAATATTGGCTACATGATGTATGGTAACAACTCCAACTCTCATATCATAATTTATGGCATCCTTACAAATCGAAACTTCTTCATTTCAAACATGGCATACATAGCTGACTTGAAGCATAATTTAATAAGTGTAGATCAACTTACCGATACAAATCAACAACTTGAATTTTGCAACAAAAACAGCTACGTCATGATGGAGGAACGGAAAGAATGTTTGTGTAACACCGTAAATTTGCAAACAAATGTTTCATTTTACAAAATCACATAATTCTCATAAACACAATTCAAAATTCAACAAAATCACAATTTATCAAAACACATGTTCATAAATCGTTTAAAACACAATCCAGGACCCTCAAAACATATCTTCTTCTCGTGTGTACAATCAATTAGGCCCCTTCCCGCGATCCTGAGAAGTACCTGAAACACATATCACATAACACGGTAAGCACAAAGCTTAGTTAGTTCCTTGAAATACCACATGCACAAATAATAAGCCTCTTATAGCTATAACTCGACATGGACCCTCCAGTCTCACGACTCGGTATGGACCCTCCAGTCATGTGTCTCAATGAAGAACCACCGGTCCCACAGCTCGGGTGGTGTGACAACTGCCAATTCAGGTCATTCTTGGACTCATGCATCTTTATAATAACCATTCATGCACAACATGCCATGACCTAGTAGTATAAATTAGGTCAAAAATCTTGCATAAACTAGGATCCAACTAAGGTCTAGGACTAATATACTTGATACTTACAATTCTAGTAAGTTGCTTAGCTACAATAGGAAATGCCAATACTATAATTAGAATAAAGCTTCAAGCTTTGTTATAATTGAAATAGGGTATAAAACTCTAAAAATAAATTAAAACATTCTAATTATACTTCAACATGTTGTTGAATATCAAACAATATTCCAAAAACCCTAAAGAGCCAAAAATCCAAAGTTATAAATTATAAAGCTTAAAAACTTTATAAAATTTGGCTATAAACTTCCTAATATCAAATTTTATTAATCAAATTATGGATTATACCAATGAACTAGAAATATAAATTACAAGTATTAATCATAAATTATTTGTTGAAAACAAGATTTTTAAATAAATCAAATTGCTTAATAAACATTTTATAAAAATGAATGTTTTTATTAAAATATAGGAGGGAAGTTTATAAAGTTTAAAATTTAGGAGAGAGGAGGCCAAAATGCATGCAAAAACCGGCCATCACCCCTCCCCATGCCCTCTCTCTTCCCCAAAACACAATCATTAAGCTTAAACCCTTACTCCACCTCTTCCCTCTTCACTCTCTCACTTCACTCTCTTCACACACTTCACTCTCTTCTTCCCTCTCTCTAAACTCACGAAAATCCTCTCATTTCTCTGCAAAATTTCGAGATTGTGAAGCCCTTGAAGTGTTCTTACTTCTCTCAAGGTCAAAACCAAGGTAAACAACAACATCTTCTTCCATAGTTTCATGGTTAAACCTCTTTTTCTTCTTAGTCTTCTCTACTTTTCGGATTCTATGCCTTTCCATGGCTAGAAATCTTTATTCTCCCCTTGTGGTTTGTAGATTCTCACCATAACACAATGCATGTGTTAGAGATGGTGAAAATCCGGGATCAAACCCATGCAAGGAGTGGAAAAGATGCACATATGATCATGTGACATCAAAACCTAATATTTCATGTTCTTCTCCATTTCTTTTGTGTTCATGCATGAACAAAAGCATTTAAACCATTTCTAGTACATCTTGGATGCTCATTCATTCCCATGCATGTGTTAGAAATCGGGCCTTACCAAAGACATGCATGATGTTCTTGTTGAAATACCCTAATAATGCACACAAGCAAACATGCAATCTGCCAGATTACTTTGTTCGACTTTGAACAGTCATAACTCAGTCATTTCTTAACCAAATCATGATATTATTTTTGTATTGGTTAGTTCCACGAGTTAGCTTTCAAACCCAACTGGTCTCACTATAAAATATTAAATATCCGATTTTTAGCAGATTTTACAAAAAGGTTGCGCATACAGCTCTTTTTCTGTGATCACTATTTTTATCTTGCTTAACCAATGGCGTTAAACCCAACCATAAATCTGAGGAAAAATACCTTAGAAACTTAACATATCTAGTGAATTATGGTTGAAATTTCGTGGCTTAAAACCTCACTGAATGGGCTATACAAATTCATGAACTTCAGCCACATTTACACTTCATGCATTATTGCATGCAACTTTTCTTAAATTGTTTGGAATCATTACCCTCATTTCTCTTTTGAATACATTTTTTTACATTTTTCCTTTTGAAAGCCCTTGCATGCATGAGATAATCTGGAAAATTTCAAGAGCTTTTGTTATTTCTTTGATTTATTAGAATTATTGCTAAAACCAAGGGCATAAATCATATAAAATACTTCCAGAGGTCAATAAATCCTAAATAAATTCATGGATGATCCTTATGGGGAATAATGACCCCTCACCAAATTTC